ATTCACTTTCCCCATTTTCTCTCTAACCTTTCTAGAGATATGAATACCCTTATTTACCAAACTCTTGCTAACCTCCAATTCGGCCGTAATTGGGAGCGGCTTTGCTGCTCGATCTTTTATCATGGTTCCAGGTTTGTGTTTTTTGTGATTCTTTTTGTCTACAATTACGTAACCATGGTATGTAAATTTCACTAGCCTCTCCCGTTCGTTAGATCCATGGATGCGCTTACATTCATTGTGAAATTGCTTATAAATTTCTTTGGGATTTAGAATTTTTCTTAATGGGGTTATCGTTTCAAAGGTTGTTGGTTAAACTAAGTACAGCTTCATGAAACACTGCACCCATATATTTTTGTATGCATTATGTCTAAAAAGGGTTATATTTTATTTCTTTATGCATTTCATGCATTTTGTATTGCATCATCATGTCTGCAGACTGCATTAAATGACCCCCATCGTCTGACCATGCTTACTGCATCAAAATGACCCCCCACGACTGATCATGCTTACTCAATTCAACAATACTTCAAAAAGGTATTGGTAATGCCTATAACTATTTTTTGGTGGACTACATTTCGTCTTTTGCTGGTTCTCTTTTCTCTTTGTTGTTTGTCAATTGCGGCCACTTTCATGAAATTACGCTTCATGTCATTTCTCACCTTCTGTGTTTATTTATTCATACATATGTCCTCTAGTTCGCTTTTTTGAATCCTGTATTACATAATTATAATTACGTAATGCATTTAGCTAACCTTCCTCCGTCGATTATGGCCAGGGTACACACCTATGACTTCAAACGAAGGCCCGACACATGCAACAGAAATTATTTTGACTTCATCCAACTTATTTATTCCTGCCTGCCCTGAAGAGGCCAAGCCCAAAGTGGGAATGGTATTCCAATCCTTAGAGGACAGATTTAATTTTTACAAGCAATATGCTGCATTGGCAGGTTTTGACATTCGTAAAAGCACCAATTTGAAGGTTTTGGGTGTTGTTGTGTGGCGGTACGTTGTATGCAACCGCGAAGGTCATAAGCATTTTGCATCAACCTGCAACAAACCCACTCACGACGATGGAGACTTGCCCAAGGCAAAACAGAGGAGACGCATTTCCAATCGTGTTGATTGTAAGGCGCGTGTGGCGTTTAGGCTCACGGGTGGTGTAGGCTACTCCATATCATCATTCATTGAAAGTCATAACCATCTCATGATGTCCCTTCAGTCTAGGCCCTTTTTGAAAATCAACAGAAATCTAGAAATTGGCCACAAGAAGTTTATGTTGAATTGTGCAAAGGGGAACATTGGCCCTATGAAGTCCTACCGATTGTTTAAGGAATCAGTTGGTGGCTTTAATAATGTGGGTGCCACTGCAATTGACTTCAAAAATTTCAAACGAGACTTAAAGGCATATATTGCAGGCGCTGATGCTCAAATGCTCATTGACAAACTATTCAGAAAGAAACAAACATGCTCTGCATTCCATTTTGACTATGATGTTGATGAGAGTGACCAGCTAACTAGGGTATTCTGGTGCGATCCTATTGCTAAGAAGAACTACGCAATGTTTGGAGATGTCATTTCATTTGATGCAACCTTCAACACAAATAGGTATATTCTTTTAATGCAGCACGTTATGCCTTTGATGCACTGCATAAGTATTATTTCTAGCGTTATAAACATGTTTTCAGGGGTTGAACTAGTTTGGTTCTGGGTGTGTTTCTTGTGGTGCAGGTACAAAATGGTTTTTACACCATTTACTGGTGTAGATAATCACCGCAGATGTGTAACCTTTGCAGCTGGTCTGCTGCGTAGAGAAGATGTTCCTTCGTACAGATGGTTGTTCAATCGCTTTCTTGATGCAATGGGTCATGCACCGCAATGCATAATCACGGACCAAGACGCTTCTATGGCTATTGCTATTCCAGAGGTTTTCCCAAACACAGTCCATCGTCTCTGTATGTGGCATATTACCAACAAAATTACGTCCAAAGTTGACAATGAACTTGCAAAAGATCAGGACTTTTTGACAAGGTTAAACTCTGTAATATGGAGTAATTACCTCGAGCCTGAAGACTGGGAAAAACAATGGCATGAGGTATTAGTTGATTATGAGCTCGATTCTGATTCATGGTTTTGCAATCTTTTTGCTATTCGTAAAAGCTGGATTCCCGCATACTTTAGGGATTTGTTCATGATTGGTTTACTACGCACAACATCACGTTCTGAGAGCGAGAATAGCTTTTTTGGTGATTTCAAAAATACCTTCTTCACTCTTGTCGAGTTCTATATGCAATTTGAAAGTGCTATGGACTCCCAACGACATAAAACTGCAGACTTGGATGGAGATTCAGAAGCATGCGCCCCTATTTATAAAACACCGCTTGCAATTGAGAAACATGCAGCATCCATCTACACTCTGAGCATCTTCTACAAAGTACAAACAGAGATATGTGCATCATGCTTCTCGTGCAGCGTGCTACAGGTGGACAAGAAGGAGCATACGTTAACATTTGTTGTGCAGGATTCCCGAGATATGGTTGTTAACGTTGAACATTCAACCTTAGAAGGCTCTTTCTTCTGCACATGTAAATATTGGCAGCGCATTGGTCTGCTGTGCCGTCACATATTCTTGGTGTTCAAGGGACTGAGAATCAAACTGATCCCAGAACGTTATATTACCAATAGATGGTGCAAAACACCACTCCTGAAGCCACTGATCGATGTTTCTGGC